GTAAGAAGTATACATAATTAGTAAATGAAAGTTAAAGAGAACAAATCACTTACAAGAAGCAAAGAGAACAAGCAACAATAAGAAGCAAAGCTCGAAAAGTCTTCTGCCCATTGCAAATTTCTGATTCCTTAGCTTATTTATTTGAGCAATAACGAAGAACTATAATTAGTTTTGAAAGTCTAAAGTTTGTGTACTCAATTTATAAAGAGTTTGTTGGGATAAGAGTATACCAATAATTTTGCCTAAAAATTACCATATGAGATAGTAATTCACATGCTCACACAACTTCTTCATTATTTATTTTTGTATTTTTTGGCCAATTTGTCCTTGCATGTTATGGACACTAGTTAAAAAGTATCATCTTTTAATATAGGCAAAAAAACTAACAAATGTTCCGAAAGCGTTGAATAAGGTAATTAAAAATAGAAGTTTCAATTTAAAATAAATACAATATTAATTACACCGACCCGACGTATAATTTTGACATACATAATTAATATTGTATTAAAATAAATATTTTAAAAGGCTATCTATTGCCCCAAGCTTGTTCATTAGCAAAATCCGTTTAATTATTTACACTTTTTTTTTTACTATGTTCAAGTGTGGCAGGTAGATTAGTTAATCATTTTGTGCTTGGTCACGAGCAAAAAGCTGGCCAAACTTGGCTTTCATCTGAAAGACAGAAACACTGGTATGGATTTTATTTTTATTTTTGAATTTAAAATTGAAGCATTAGTTACATGTAAGATGTAACATATACACCAAGATTATACCGTAATACCGTAGAATAGATACAAAAGTTGGCAGATTTGTAAATCAAAATGACTGCCACTTTTCTTTTGTTTTTGTATTGTGGTATTGAATTTTAAATCTTCAAATCGCTTGATGGCCTAGAGATTATTTTTAGATTTGAATGTCCCACGACATATTTCATCCGTCCCTCTTTATTTATTACGGAGTATTAGAAAAAAATTGTTACAAACAATCTCATTTTTGGGATGTCTGTTTAATATAATCCCATCTTTGGCTTATTTTTAAATAATCCAATTTTTATATTCAATCCGCTCAAAATGGTCCTAATCGGTCATATAACTTGTTATAATAAGTTACTTGACATATGTCGGCATGCGATTTGTAAAAAATATAAAAATAAAATAAAATAATTTTTTTAAAAAAAAAAAAGTTAAAAAAAAAGTTCAATTAAAATAAAATTTTTTAAAAACCACCCACCAACCCTAGCCACCCTAGTCCCCCTCCCCCAACTCCCCTGCCCCGTGGCTCCGTCCACCTAGGCCCTCAACCCCAACGTCGGCCGCTGCACCGCGCTTGACTCCCCTTCCCTAAGCCACCAACTCGCCCCCCCCCATTAAACCCACACAGATCGAGTTTAAACCACCGGTGAGCCATAAAATCATCCCCCAGCCTAGAAAACCCCATGTTGTCCTGACAGATTATTTAAAAATAACCAGGTGAGATTATTCCAAGAATTTTTTCATTAGCATTATTATGTGTCATCCCAGCTTTAAAAAGTTAATAATTTGCAATTAACGGGTCAATTAATCAAATTAAAAGTTGCTTATTGTGTGACTATGTTAGTAGAATTATTATGTGTGATTAACCTTATGCAATTAGTATTCAGGCCATTTTCACTTTTATCCGCGAGTCTAATCAGGTTCAAGTCATTTTATACACTTTAAAATCATATATCCCAATGCATTGATGCTCAACGTTCATGCGATGTAATGTTGATTTGTTTGCCTCTAACATAATTGTGTATATTATGGTTAAATATGTATACTGTAAATTTTTAAGTGCAAAAAAAGAGCCGAGAGTTTTTAGAATAACCATATGTTAATTACACTCTTTATATATGCATGTGTTTAAATCACAACTAGTGTGTGGCCCAGGCGATGCTCTGTTTTCTTTTTTTTTTTTTTTTTTTTTTTGAACAAACACTTGTAATTGAATAGATAGGTTCATTCTTCCTTTAAAAAAAAAAAAAAATAGGTTCATTTTTTATTATTTATTTATTCATTATTTGTTTAAGTGTTCCTATCAAAATAAATTATATAAACATGTCTTTTGTTTATAATTTATAATATAATGAAAGTAAAGACAAAATTATTTTCAAAATAATTAAATAATTATTTTCGTTCTTGGTTTTATACATTACCTCGATTAACATAATTCAAAAATAATAGGATCGTTTATTTTTTGAAAAACAGAATTGCAGCTATTAAATGTTCAGATCTCCATCCAATCCATATGTTTATATATTTATTAGTCGAGTATAAAAGTATGATTAATATATGGATGAGATGGTAACTTGGTAAGACACCTAATGCATATTTTTATGGTTATGAGTTCAAATCTCATGATTTTTATTAGAATATGATCATAGTTGGAAGATGACATGAAGAGGGTGCCACATGGCACATAAACGTTTTTAAGAACGAGTAAAACTACCTATACATGTTTGATTATTAAGCTAGGTTTCTTATATAACTTACACACAACACTTTCAAGTTTCAAATTTTTTTTTACAAGAAACCTGAGCACTATTCATTTCAAACTTAACTTATGCTTTAGTTTTAGAAAAATACTTCGTATAATACAGAATATGCTATGTAATGTATTGATACTATCTTATGAAGAAACTTTAAAGTGTTTAGAAAATCTTGCTTCCTATGCTGATTTACTTTCCATGATGCAATCATAAAATCGACCATCAATAATGTTAGGGTTGGTGAGTGTGCAGCGGAAGCAAATTAAAGAGGTAGAGATTGATAAAATAAATAAGAGAAATGTAAAGGCAAGATAAAACTAAAAAAAAAATACATGTTTTAGTTTTATCTCTAAGAGCGGATATTTGTATAAATTCTCTCTAAGCATTATGAGGGGACACTCATAAAGTGTATAATATCGGAGTATTGGAAGATATGTAGGTGGATACATGCTCCCAAATAATTCCCAATGCCACTATTTATAGGTGATGTATGGAGGTGGAATAAGTGTATGTAATATTCTACACTTTAATTTAAATTCTCTACACAAATCTAGAGCCTTTACGGATTATATGGGCATTAGCTAATTTTAGATTCTTCCACAACACTCCATTAATTTCTCAATATACAAGATTTTTCTAAAAATTTTGAGAAACATTGAGAAGTATTTAGTTGGACTATGGAATTTGGGCCACACTAACCCAACAAATAATACTGACAACTTAGGCAAAGCTAAGCTTAGTGCCATTATCCTATACTTATCAATGTTCAACTCTACCAATTGGTTGTTGGTGCAGTGGTGATTATGACTGCACTTGGTAGGAAAAACCCATGTTCGGTTCCTTGCAACAATAATTGGGAAGGAACTAGTACCTAACCATCTAGAACTAACTTTCGAATTCGGATTAACCCAAAGGGTGAACCGGATGGAATAACAAAAAAAAAAAGAATTTAACTCTAATTTTTCTCCACCTCCAATCCTAGAGCTACATTTGGAGGCTTTTCCTCAAGGCATTGGTGACAAGTTATGGCTTCAATTGCAGGAACAAACGTAACGCTATGAATGTACTAACGCGAGTTGGTTGATTCACACGGTCTTTTGGCAAGGATAAGGTAACTAGCTAGTGTATGTAATTGTGCATCTCTTATTAATTAAAGGATAACTTTTGTATACACCCGATTTTCAGTAATTATTGTACATCGGGTACACTTTTATCAGATTTAGTGTCACTTTTGTCAAATTTAATGTCACTTTTGTCAAATTTATCAATGAAGTATAAATAACTCTTATATATGTCAGGGTAACATTTGTGCGTTTTAGTGTAACTTTTGCACATTTTATTGTCACTTTATAACGGATGTTCAGTAATTTACTGAACATCCGTTTTATTTAAAAGTTTGTTTTAATTAAATTGGATTATCTCAAGGCCAAATAGACATTGAAAAACTTGAAGAATTCTCTTTGCTTTTAACAACTTGTATGATTGGTACCGCAAAAAGATATCATACTAAAGTCATTCATAAGTCATAATTAACCAACTTTGCAGTAGTAATTGGGTAACAAAATGCCTCCTATTTTGGGCCTTTACAGCCCAATCAAAAGAAGCTTCTAATTGAAATGTGATAATATAAACATGGCCCAATCTAGGCCCACATACTAAGCAAGGCCTGGTAGTCGATCTACTTGTTAAACATAACATGTACTTCGTACGAAGTAAATAGCTAGCCTAGAGGATCCCAAGAATCTATTGCTCAGATCATATATTGTACTTACACTCTTAAACTTAATTTGGAGTCTAGGACAAGTTACTCCTCACTTAATACTCCGTTCTTTTTAGCTAATCGAAGTATCAGAATATACTCCCGAGGCTAGTTTACGTGCTTGCTTGTGTAGTTTTTTTATCCATCAAGCATAACTTCGCTAAGATCTTCCTTCAACATTATAAGTAGACCTCATATGAGAAGTTTTTTGTAAGACGAAAACATATACTACTAGTAGTATACTAACAAGTTTCAAAGAAAGGTTTGTTGGTGTTGTGTCACTCATCTTATGGGATTATATTTACAAGTATATTGTATATTTACTTCCACTCTTATTAAACTTAGGAGTCTAGGATAAGTTATTCCTCTCTTAATATTCCGTTCTCTTAATTAGTTAATCTAAGTATCAGAATACACCCTTAAGGCTAGTTTACGTGCCTACTTGTCAACTTGAGTAGATTTTTTTTATCCATCAAGCACAACTTCGCTAAGATCTTCCTTCAACGGTATAAATAATTAAATAGACCTGTTTTTTGTAAGACGAAAACATATACAAGTAATAGTATACTACCAAGTTTCAAAGATTAATTTGTTGGAATTTGCAATTACCAAAAATTCATGCAAAGTAAAGTAATTTTTTTAACCTTACACAAACTTCTATATGCATGCAATAGACATAACACCAACAAATCTTTCTTTGAAACTTGATGTACATAACTTCTAAGAACAACAAAATCAAATTAATAAAAATATATTCCAATAACATAAACCATACACCCTTCTTCACAACCAAAATAATATATATTAACAATAATTATCATAAAATTCATAATAAAATACAACTAAATGAATACTTGAAAAAAAGGGCATTTCTCAAAGTTAATCAAAATAAAATAATATATAATAAGCCGTTGTTTAGTCATCAATAGAAGGCTTGGTTTTAAGGCGATAAAGAAGTCTTTTCTTCTTAGAGGATGAATTATCAATGGTTAAAACAATTTTGCCAGGCTCACTAGTCTTGAAGGTGTTGCTAATTATGGTTTCTTCAGTGGGTCCCACTTTCCTCATTTTTTGTATAATAACAGTGTAATTATCTTTAGCATTGGGCACAAATTCAGCACCATAGCTTACTTCCCATCCAAGCACTCTCACCTCCCATGTTAGATGGCATGCCTGCATAATATATAGATCATATGAAAAATTAAAATTAAACTACTCTGCGATTTTATTGAAATGAAGGTTAAGTTTCTATCTATGAATTAAAAGATCACGTGTTGAACACAAAACACTTTATCTTTAAGATTTGATATGTTTAAATTAACGTATAGGACCTTAACATGAGAGAATATGATACCCGTCAAAAAAAAAAATAAAAAAATAAAAAAATTGAGAGAATATGATACGCCATATTCTCTAAAAACACAATGAACTTATAACTATCAAAATGAATGGTACCAATATAAACTTTTCTCTCATTTTGAGTTCATTTCTCATAAGATGGTTGTTCCAAAATAAAAAATTTCTCTCATTTTCAGTTCATTTCAATAAATATATTATGTTAATTAAACTAATAAAATGTAATACACATTCTTTTTTTTTACACTAGCTTCTACTATTCATGCTCTTTTTTACACTAAAACTGTAATGAACATGCTTTCTTTTTTACAGTATGTAATTTATTCCGTTCATTTCATAAAATATATTATGTTAGTCAAACTAATAAAATGTAATACACATGCTTTCTTTTACACTAGCTTCTACTATTCAAGCTTTCTTTAACACTAAAACTTTAATAAACATGCTTTTCTAGTTTTCTTTTACAGTATGTACTTATTTCTTATCTTAAATTTAAAAGTGACATTCCTTATATAGTTGATGAATATGAATTTACACCTTTTTTTTTATGATTTTTAAGTTACATTTTTATTTTTTTTTATTTTTTTTTTAGGCCTAAGCCAACAATAGTGGGGTCTTGTCCACCCACCAAAGGAAGAGCTTTGACCCACAAAGAGTACCCTAAACTAAAACATAATCAGTACGTACAAGAATCCAATGACATTTTACACCGGTTACACTCAAAATTTGTTCATGCTCACATCTTTGTTTTCCTCTATATCTCAACAGAGTTAACTCGTGCCCTAAATCGATATGTAGGCCAATTAACTTGACGGATGACGAGTAATGCAATGACATAAAATTATTAAGCATAAGACTAAGACTAACCTCAGTAACATCAAATTCCACAGTTTCCTTGCATGTTGGCTTGACAATAATTTGTGTTGCACCATCTTTGCTTCCAAATTCTCCATCTTTACTAAATCCACCATATTGAACCGGTACTTGCTCCGGAGCAATGTAGCTAAAATTACAATCAATTTTTAGTAAAAACAAATGATTAATTTAGTTGTAATATCTAATATAAGCTAAATTAATCCTATATATAAACACTAATGACGTGCAATTTAAGGAATAGCTTAGAAAAATTAAATGGTGATCAGAAAAGTTTATTACATAATACAATTACTTAAACATTAATAGCCCAACACTTTCCTCTCTTATCAATTTAGATTATTTTGTTTGATTTATCCGTTTAGTTTATCTAATTTATTCATCAAATCACTCGCCAATAAGAATATGAATATATGATGCAATAAAAAAACAGAGAAAGTAAGTCTTTTAAAATAAAGCAAATTAAAATAAGGGTAAACCAGAAAAGAGTTTCAGCAGATTTAGAAGGTCCAGCAACAACAAACTTGCTCTTTGTTCTCTGAGTCAAAAAGGGACTTATCATCTTGTTGACTGCCACATACCACCATGGCACATTGATAAACACCTATCATATAAACAATTACATAAATAAATTAAAGCACCCAAAATAAAAAAAATATATACATTTCATATAAAGTAGCTAGCATAAATGAAAACAAGAAAAACTTTTTTTCCCTTAATTCATTACAAGTAATGATATTATTGAAAAAAAAAAACAAATTAAATTAGCTAATATTGCAACTATTATCATGATCTATGTTATTCGGACTTGGTTACTCATGTTTGACACGAGTTCGAGTTCAGGTGTCCGACTAGCTATTTTGTGAAAAATTTCTATAAACTAAAATAAAGTGTCCAAGTGGCATACTCATGTCCGAGTATCGAGGGTTCAACACGGGAATTTGAGGTAAAATAAAGAGTGCGAGTAACATAGGGGTTATGATTATTAGATTTTTATTTTTCAATTTTTTTCTTTTTCTATTGTCATCTTGATAGTATAGTTTAAAGTTATAACAAGTAATGCAACAATTCTCTCAAAAAAAAAAAAAGTAATGCAACAATTAAATTCGAACAGAACCAAATTATAGGATGTAGAACTACTTAATTAGCATATTAAGAGTTGTTAACTGACCTGTTTGGCAACAAATTCAGGGTAATTATCCTGCAGCAATTGTAGAGCTTGTTTTGTAGCTTGTCTAAGCTCCCATTTACCAGGTCCAGGAGAATTCTTAAGATCATTAACTTGAACCATTGTTGAAATACCTCCATGACTAAAATCCAACTTTCTGATACTTTTCTCCAAGAATTGAATCCTCCATTTCAGGAATTTCTGCCTTTTTTCTTCATCAGAAAATGTTTTCTGATACAATTCCTTGTTTTGGAATGCACCATAAACATTGTAACACACAGGGTGACCTTCTTTGCTAAACCCGTGCATGAACACCGCCTTCTCTAGATCATTCCCCAAGTCTTCCTCGAGCAATTCGTCGATTTTGAACTCTTTCCTCCACTTAATGGTGGATTTGATCATGGCGAAGGCTTCAACCACTTTGAAGTCCCTGGCACGCAGGAACTTCCAGAGGATGGTGTCTGTCCTTTCGTCCTTGAGGAGGGGTACGCCCCATATGGACACCTCCTCCGGAGGCAGTAAGGAAGCGGCTACTTCCTTTACTGCCTCCGTTGGTGTCTTCACCTCTTGCTCAGCATCAGCAAGAGGTGAAGACACCGCAGCAGACGACTCCTGAGTCGAGTCATCAGGAGTCGTCTGCTGCTCTTCGAAAGTCACTGTCTCCTCAATAGCCTCCACAGTCTTTGTCCCATCCTCGTTTACACTAACTTTAGCCAATGTCTCCTTGGTGGCCTCAGCCTCCTTAACCCCTTCTTCATCAACCGCCTTCTTCTCAACCTCTTCATCAACCACAATAGGACCCTCTTCTACAAGCGATTGCGGCGGTGGCGGTGGTAGAGTAGCATAACTAAATTCATGGTTATTAAGAGCATTTTGGATAAGCTGCTTAAGCTCATCCAATGCTTTCTTCTCATTCTCAGGATATAACCCATTATCATCCTTACTTATCTCATCGTTAACATTACTATCAGCAATAACAACATCAGCAACCTTCATATCAGTAGTAGTTACCTCCTCCTTCTCCTTCTCATTCGAGGCGGTAACATCCTCAACAACAGCCTTAGTTTCAGTAACTACCTCCTCCTTCTCCTTCTCCTTCTCCTTCTCCTTCTCCTTCTCCTTCTCATCCTTATCCTCGTACTTCGCTACGACATCGTTAATTGAATCATCTGTTACTACAACAACTTCTTGCTCATTTGGAGTTGGTGTAACGGTGGTTTGATTAGCTGTTTCTTCAGCCATGATTATCAGTTTAACTGGATTACAGAAACAAAAGAGAAAGAAAGAAAGACAGTTGAATAAAGAATGTGAAAGAGAAGAGGGAAAGAAGGAGGTTTAAATAAAAGGAGGGTTGAAAAGAAATGATGAAGAAGAATGTGGGAATGAAGAGTGGGAGAAAGTGGGTTTGAGGTGGATAAAAAATAAACTACTCTAGTAACATAGAATGATAGAAAACAGTCTGTCTAATGTTTTAAAGGTTTCAGACAACCAAGATTATGTGTATTTTTGTAGGGTATGCTATCCTGCTATTTTGATTTCTTTCCGTTTACAATCTGTCATCCAAATTCATAAAGCAAATTTATTGTTGGATAAAATAATTAACAATATAAATTTAATATTTGAATAAAAAAAATTAATTAACAATGTATAGTTTACTGAATTTATTTTCATTGAGAATTTAATTTAGAGAAAATATGAAATTAATACAATATGATTATATTGGGTCCACTAGTTGAGTAATATGGAGTATGAATTAAATATTGTGAAAACTTTCCAAATAAGAAAATGGAACAAGTATTTAAAAACGGCCGAAAATAAAAAGTGGAACAAATATTTAAAGATGGAGGGAGTTATAGGTCCAATAATATACCTCAATTAAATTCTCTAAATATCATCTCAATGAAAATAGGGTAAAGCTATACATAGCCCTTAGGGCTATATATAAGCATTGAATTTACTCTTGAAAAATGTATAAAGTTAGGAATTCATGACAAAAACACGCGCAGATCAGTGTAATTAGTGTGTTTTTGTCATGATTTTCTAAATTTAAACAATTTTCAAGAGTAAATTAAATGTTTATATGTAGCTCTTAGGGCTATGTATTACATTTTCCTATTACTTCACTTATCCCACAACCCCTTTTTTTTTTACTATTTTCTCCTAAAACTCCATGCATGGAGAATGGAGCGAGTATTTAAAAACAAAGGGAGTATTTTTACCTTTATTATTGTTATTAAAGGAACAACTCAACCAATTAACATAAATAAACATAAGTGTATTATTCTACTAATAAGAACAATACGGAAATTATATCATACATATGTTTTCTGATATTATATATCTCTAACAATTGATTTTCTTTTTCTAAAAATTGAGTTTCCTTTAAATCAAGGATAAATAAAAGGTGTGTCTTGAAAAAATATTTGCTTGATTATTTGACAATGTATGAGACTAATTAATCAAAATTGGATAAAAGCTTCTATATGTGACGATAAAAAAAAAAAAAAATATCCTCTGCTATATAAAAATACTTAATGGTTCTTTATAGTTCATACTTAGGGCATGTTCTCTTCAGCTTAATTTCAATTCAATTCAGTTTAGTTCAGTTTAGTTCAGCTCCAATCAATTCAATTCAGTTCAGCCCATTAAATCAGAACATGCCCTTATTATGCATAAATTATTTTTCTATTGAACTAATAACTAAAACTCTAAATGTTTGATATAAGATGTCAAAGATTCATGGAAAAATATTAATAGAACTTGATTTCACAACTGAAAAATTGAAAGGAAGACAACGAGAAGCTAATCACTGGGCTAATTTCGCTATCATTCAAAGTTAAGTGATGGATTTCCGACCTTTGCTCAACCAACTAAATCAACTAATAACATTCATACAATCATACTATAAAAACTTGTATAGCTAGGTGATCGATATGAAGGGAACAAAAATAAAAGTGAAAAGACTTACATGTAAAATATAGTTATCCAGAAATCCATTCTTTTGAGAGGTAAAAGTGCAAAAAATGTACAAAATCTTGATGACATACCCGTTAAAATCGGCAAGAGTGGCAATAGCTTTAGAAGGATACATGATTAAAATGAGAGGCCCACGACCAAGTTAATGTTATGAGTGTGCATGTTCTAAGACTTGTAACATCTTTATTTTGCTAAAAAGTAAGGGAAAGAGTTGGACCAACGCATCAACTATACAAGATACAACTTAACTAAAGAAGAATGATATTGCACTTAACTCATTGATTTACTTTCTCTGCCTTCCCGACCGTTGCGGCGTGATTTTTGTCATGCCTTTCAATCTTCCATGCTTTTTCTTCTGTTAATTCATATTTTCATGTTCGACAATACTAGATGATATGAATGTCGATCTACTATTCAAAAAAAATATATATATGAATATCGATCTGAAGGCACTAGTAAAGATTGGGTATACCGTATATGTATAAATTCGGACTGGAAAGGATTGAATTCGGTTGGACTAGAAGATTGGAGTTCTCATTTTTCATGGTCCTTGCTTACCACGGCCAACATGTGCTTAGTTAGGATGAGTTTTGAGTGGCTACAATAAAATTGTGGTCATTGTATTAAATCAAATCACAACCGTTTATTTTTTATTGATTAACATGAACTGTTGATATTGTTAGGTATGACCCAAATTTTATAAACCCATTATTTTGGAGTATTGTGCATATTCTAGCGGTTTTCGGAATAATCAAGCAAGGTCATTACTTGCTCTTGATTTCTCTAGAATAATATCATACTTGAATGTTGTAGAACATTGGAAGCTATTAGATTATAATAGCTGGTTTGTGAATTTTCTAGAACATTATGGATACAAGAATGATGAAGGAATTTCTAGAATATTCCAGCCATATCTTCCAACCTCCATTTACACCTATAAATATAAGTCATGGACATTCATCAATCATTTAATACAACACAACAAGAAGCCAAATACACAAAGAGCCACACACAAATACATAAACTCTCCTTGTAATTTCCACCAAAAAAGCTTCTCGTTAAATATTGTATGTCTATTTTTACTACTTAATTATCTTACCGTCTTGTTTTTACCTATCTCCTACTTATCTTATCAATCAATACATCTTTAATTTGCTTTTAATGTGCACTCACCAACCCTAATAGATATGGGTTACTATTTATTTTATTTTTGAAGATTTTTTTTTTTTTTAAAAAAAAAAAAAAAAAGAATTACTACATAAATGAAAATACTCCAAATTATGCATCATATTATATAATCAATTAAATCATAGATCATTCAAAAATTAATTGCATTGAAAATACTCCAGATTCTTTATCATACTAATATACTATACAATCAGGTTCAAAATGATCCGAATAAGAAATAAGCATCTCTATGATCTAAACTAATTGACCACCATCAACCTCTTTGAATTAGACTAGCTACAAATCGAACTCCGCCAAATATTCGAAACAATTAGGATTTTCCAACATTTTTCTTAAGTGCGGAATAATATTAATCAATCTCTCACAACCCAAAAATAATTAATGAATGTAGTCACAAATGAATGCAAGAAAGCTCAAAATCATAAAACTATTCACATTTTTTAATAAAAATAACCCAAGAAACGGGTTAAAAAAGATCGAAAAGAAGTCAACGGAAAAAAAAAAATATTGAGTAAAAAATGAAGAGAAACTTTTGCGTGATACCTTTTCACGTGAGTCCAGTTTATAATGAACACACACATCCGACCTTAAAGACGGCGAAATAAAGGCCATAAGCAAGATTGACAAAGACGATCCAGAAGATGATTCAGATGATTATGATGGAAGTGCCGCTGTTGACACAGGATGATCGAAACATATAGAAGTAAGATCTAAGAAGACGACCCAGATGACGATGAAGGTGCTACTAAGAAGACAATCCAGATGACGATTAAGGTGCCAAATATAAGAATTGGAAAAGTTTTATGATTTTCCATTGAATTGTACGAGCCATTAGATAGGCTTAATGAAGTAACAAAATAAAGTAAGATAATTACAAACTAATTAATTTAATAAAAGAAAAAGATGATTATATAAAAGAATACATATCTACATCTAGCAACTAAGTGATAAACACTGACTATAGTAACAATATGATAAACGTAGTAGTAGCTATAACAACTATTGTACGATTTATTTTCAACAACGACGTGCCGCCATTGACATACAAGCATGATGAGTGATTCTTTAACCATTGAAAAGCAAATTTTGTCTAATATCTGATAATATCATCTAATTTCTGATCAATAGCATCTAATTTCTGACCAATATCATTTAATATTTGACTAATTTTATCTAATCTCTGACCAATATCATCTAATTTATGACACTTTTGATTTAATATCTGATATTTATAACTTAATATTTGACCAATATTATCTAATTTCTAACAATTAAGAATTTTATTTTAAATTTGTTTGTACGACCGAACTCACGTGATTCCGTTCTATACAATACTTTTCCAACAATGAAAAACCGATAGAGAAACTGATAAGAACGTGGATTTTTTTGTCATTTTTTTTAAAAAATAAAATAAAATAAATCAATGGCTTACATTAGTCAATAAAAATATAGGGATATGATTATACAATGGCCACAATTTTACCATTTGAAAACTATCCTATAAAGGTATAGTCAATTTATAAAAATTAAAAAAAAAAAAAAATGCTATGTAAATTGGGCTATGATAAAACTAAATGAATTTGTTTTAAAAATAATAAAATTAAATGAATTATAAGGAATGTTTACTACTTCCTCCATTTCAAATTACTCGAACGTTTTAATTCTTTACATGATTCATTAACTTTGCTTTGACTAACATTTGTGTTTTGTAGGTATAAAAAAAGTAGTAATTTGGGATCTTGTTAGATTCATTTTAATGTGTACTTAATTAAAATTCAATTTTTAGTATTTTTTTTACAATAACATAAGTAAAAATATATTCGATTACACTTTTGCATTGGCAAACGTGATTGTAGACACCTAAAAATGTCTCCCAAAAAACCAAACTCGATGATGAACAACCTTTAACCGCCATTATTGGTTGGTTTAAGTATTTAATCTCGAAACTGCTTAAAATCCATATTCAGCCAAACATGTTCAATCCAAATGTTTATTCAAGCATAGTCCAACCCATATTTCAACCCAAACCATTTTAATCCATTTCGTTTTATTTATTATTAAGCCAGATTAATAAATAATAAAACCTTAATCCTGAAATTAAATAAGTCCGGAATAACTGAAACGACGCTTAATTATCACATGCTTAATGCTTAAGAAAAAGATAAAATGAGTTTAGACCAAATTCAGGAAAACTTATTTGTCGCGTCGCGTCAACGGAAAGTTATACCATGTCACGACAATTTGCGCTGTGACACGACAATTTTAGGTTTAATTTCTTCGGGGCATTCCAACTCTAGGGTTTCGTGCTTCACCCCTCATATTTTCTCTATAAATACGAAGGTGATTTCACCAGTTTTAGGACACCAAATAATTCTCTCTTTCTTTCTTATACACCT